TTTGAAAGCGTATGAAGGAAACATTTGTTGTTCAATCAACAAATGTATCCTTCATACGCTTTCAAACGTCTTTTCAATAATTTCTGCAAATAAAAAGGCTTTCGGTTATCGGTTATGATCGGTTTCGGATAACCGATTAAAAATCGAAACCTAATGTTGATAATGACTGCTTTTATTGGCTTCAAACTAGAGACATTACGCATTTATTTAGTAAGCAAACACAAGTCACAGTTATCCACGTGGGTACTCATCAGCATCTAGTAGTCTCTGTTAGCTATATTATCAGTTATGATTTAAATGCTTGAATCACGGAATTCCTCAAATACTTCACTCCTTTCCGCTTCACCTTTCTGACTAGGGGTGTTAATTTAGTGTTACTTGGAAAATAAATGTAAATGAATCATTTATATTTATTTTCTTTATTTTACCTTTATTTCAATATTTATTTTTAAAAATAAAGAAAGTAAATATAAATGAATCATTTACTTTTATAAAATAAAGATAAAGTTTTTTTCATATATTTATATTTATTTCATAAGAGTAAATGATTCATTTATATTTATCCGTTATTATAAATGAACAATAAAACTAAATTAACACCCCTACCTCTGACAGCTGTTATGTAGTAAAACTATCTTGATTAATTTTCTAACTTGTTTACTTTATTCAGTAACAAATTACTATGTTATACATTCGCAAAAATACAGCTATATATACATATCACCGAAAGTCCGAGAAAGGATTAGAAAAGGATCTAATGACGTCAGAAGAACAGAGAGAAAGAGAAAGATCACTATAGACATATGACTTCCATATGGTATTACACATGATTTAAAAAGAAGGATGAAATGAAAACAAGAAGAATTTCTTAACACAGCATACTCACTACATTGTGACATACAATACAGCTCGGATTAGTCCTCGTGGCTTTCCCGCAGAGCTAGTACGTGGTTAGTGAAGGAACTCAGGTAATGCTATTGTAAAATGAACAGTATGATCCGTGCTAAAAAGTTTCAGTTCGAATAAACAAAGTTTCGATCAGGTAAGTCTACGAAGTAGGCGAGGTTCGAATTAAGCACGTTTATATTCAAAAGATTAGCTCTGGCGGGCTCTTGTCTAAATGCAAAAGGAAAAATACAGGCAGGCAAATAGTGACTTTAAAAAGGCATGTGCAGAAAAATAAGAAAAATGTTTGGAATCCGCAAAAAAAAACTAATGCATCACAAAAACCACGGTGGAAACTGGTTAAATCTCTTTTTAAACATACACAGTCAGCGTATACACATATTAAAAGATGAAAATGCGATTACTTATTCGGATGATTTATCAAAAGCTAATATATTAAACGATGATTTCGCAAATTGTTTTTCTATGAACAATAGTGAGAATATTACATACGATCATGAATACATCGTCAAACAAACGACTGGCGTGCCATCTCCGATGGGAATACTTGTATTGGATATAAGAAGTATATTAGCTAAGACAGCTATCCTCATTTTCGATCTTTTCATTTCATTATTATGTCTTATTACCAAGATAGCTTTAAAATGAACTGAAGACCTTTTTCTAAATCAGTTTTCAACGCTGATTCAGAAAAAAATAGTTCCAACCTTCCATCTTCTAATAAAACTTCAAAAAAATCAATTCTACGATATAGGTCATTTTTGTCGATGTTTTCGACCATCGCAGTATTTCAGGTTTTTCTCCGTGATAAAAGGACTTTTGAAGATTTTAAAGCTGATATTCGTGATCAGGTCAGCAAGACGAATCAGAATATGTATGATAAATCGAAAAATAAAATCTGCTCGTTTTTTGAATTAGCGGCACCTTACAAGTATTGTTACTATCAACATACATGTATTGTACGTTTGTTTTCCATGGATTCTACTAACATTGAATCAAATCAAGGTTAATGCAAGTAATTACAATGTTTTAAATGAAAAAAGAAAATGAGAAAAGTATGATGTAAAAGAGATAATTTGAAAACTTCTGTTGGATTTCATCATATATTTATTTTTATTATTGAATTATAAGTGAGAAGTATACTTCTCACTTATAATACTTCTCAAAATACTTTACTTCTAATTATTATTTATTACCTATTATAATAGGTAATAAATAATAATTAGAAGTAAAGTATTTTGAACCGTTGATAATACAACCAAATGATAATGCATTTTTAAGGTACGATCATGAGTACACAATCGTAGACAAAAGATAAACGATAAGTGAGACGGTTACCCGATGTGTATTAGACTGTGGACATTTAATGGCTCTTTCATATAACGTATGTTGCGAAAGTCTTTGACAGATTAAAACTCATATTTCTTTATTAGAGGGGCATTTAGATTTTTTCCAACGTTCGCAGTTTGTAGAGGATAGTTCGAAGTATATATCCTAAAGTTTTCTCGGCTTACTGACATTATTTGGCTGAGAAAAAACTAATTACTTTAAAAAAAATTCATTCATTAGAATTTTTTACAACAGCCCCGTGCTCAAAGATTTAACAACATTTTTTTAAGTAATCTCAGCCAGATAATGCCAATAAGTCATGAAAAAACTTCAGGACATATACTTCGAAGTATCCTCTACAAACCGGGAAGACTTGAAGAAAAAATGCAAAACTTGAAAACATCACTGGCTTTTGGCTCAGCGAAGACTTTTTCACCTCACCTTACGGCTAGTTTCGCGCGACACAAGCATTTTAAGGCAAAACTGTGGGTACAAAAGTTGTAAAATAATCGAATTCTGCAGTGTTTTCAAAATTGTCTTTAAATTAAATTTTTAAACTGAAAAATATGAAATTTTTTAAAACTTTAAAAATCAAAAAAAGACAATTTTGAAAACACCTCTCGTTCTGGACTGCAGAATTCGATTATTCTTCAACTTTTGTACCCAGAGTTTTGCTTTAAAATGCTTGCTTCGACTGAAACTAGTGGTAAGGTGAGGTGAAAAATACTTTTAGCTCTGAAGTTTCCTCGAGAAGGTGAACGTTAAAGTTCTGCATCAAACTTCATTCGGGAACGATGAAAAGTGTTTCTCCTTATACAAGTTAATGTTCTCTATCGAATTACGCTACAATCAACTCTTCATATCAAAAAGTGAAGTTTTTATTGAAATTTTAACTTTAAAAAACTTAAAATGTTTTTTAATCAAAAACTATAAATCCGGAAACCGAAAGCTTTGTCAGGAAGTGTCCTCTACAAACTGGTGGAAAAAAACTGGTGAGGGGGCCCAGAAAAACCTTCTTTTCAATAAAAAAAACCGAAATACACAGCATCAAGACGGCCGAAAATGACTGGTACATTTACTATAATTAATGATAGCTAAATAGACATCTCTTAGTTGCGACACGGACAGGATAGCCATAAATAGATCACGTAGTAAAACATAGTCAATGGTAACTGTATTGTTATTTAAAACTCTGCTTAGAACATGAAATAAATCTGTGCGAGCCTTATTGTATAGCAAATAATGTAAAAAAAAATGGGCTACAGTTTCACTGAGTCCACGAGCACAGTTAGGAGACGGTACAAGTGAGAGTGCATAGAAATACGCCTTCAACGGACTAAAACTCAGCCGATATCTCGCAAAGTCAATGTTAAATATGGGCTCATTAGATATTATACGTGGCTTTAGTTTAAAACAACCATGATCAGACAATAATTTCGACGTCAATGTAGGTTTAGATCTTTTCGGGTTCGGAACAGAGCACAAATCAGGCGTTAGTTCATTCCATAACTGCGATGCAGTCTGTAGAAAAGACATATTTAGAGCACAAACAGCAGGAATTTTATTATGATCGCGGTGACTTGGACTGAAGAATAAGTTCACGCAAGTAATCAGGGGTTAAGCTGTATACAACTTTGTGAAACAGACATAAGCATCTAACACGACATAATTCTCTGATCGAAAGCCAACAGAAGTCCCTCAAGATGAGCTGTAGAAATACTTTATGTTAATGAAGATAGTCATTCGGGTTTCATTTAATTGGAGCATTTTTTTGGCATCCAGTAAACGCTGTACCATTTTGAAAATTCAACATACCAGTCAGCGTGACGCCTCATTTCGAAAGAACACTTTGCTCTTATTTATCAAAAGTCCGTTTTTGTTAATTTCCCGCTTTACATGAGATGGGGCTTTTCATAGAATGCTTATCCCTTGCTCAAGCCACACGAGGTTGTGCGATAGTACTTTGTGAAAAATTGAAATACTTTGTTAATTCCTAGGCCCTTTGGACGATGTTCTTCGTTTAGATCATTGTTTGACTTAAACCTTATTTTTTTTGACATAAATAATTTATTTTGTTCCTTAAAGGTTAACAAAAAAGAATACATAGAATAGTACAGCTCAAATAGAAATTGATTTTTCGACATTAATAAAGTTGAAGAATAAACCATACATAAACCATAGTTTAGTTTTAACAAAGAAAAGCTTTATTGTTTTATTTACATGTACGTTTTATTGACATCATAAAAATAAAAATAAAACAACAACAACAAAACAAAAGAAAAAAGAATTTTATGCAACAAATTTTATACGAAGTTAATTCCTCGTTAGTGTTCCCTTCCTAATCAGCGTTGATGTCGTAGTTACATAAAACTAGGTGATCGTGGAGCCGGGAAGGTTTGACTATATGCAATCGATAGTCCTACGAAAGCTATGTAAGGATCCCTGACGCCCCATGAAAAAATTATTTCAAACACGGTTTTTCCTTGGTCGTAAGTTTTGAATTGAAGCGTTTTTATGGATGCTAGAACAGCGAAATCTGTAGATTTCTTAGAAGAAGCTCTACCTCAGCTGATCAGTTCGATTTTTAGAAAATGTTATATAACTAAAATCCTTTATTGAGAATCTTTTGAAATAAAAAAATGAGTGAACAGAAGGAGGAAAGTCAGCAACATTATCGTTAATCGTATTGGTACTGTATCTCGTATATTATTCAGACATTAGAGAAGAGTCTGTTACATAATGACTGCATAGTATGAATGGATTTTTTAAGTTGTACAATCTGTTACTTCAGCGTTTTGTCCTTCTGATGTTTCGACTTTATCATTAATCGATGTATCGTGAACTTTTGCGGTAACAACTCGTGGTAGTTTGGTGACAGTAACACTTTTTTGTCTTTCAATAACACAGTTTTCGTTCGACTTGCTATCCACTGTTGAACTTCGTCTTCTAGGACCGTCGTTTACTTGATCTACATGCTTTGGTTCAACAGCGTTCGATTTCTTTCGTTTCACTCTTGGGATGTTCACTATTGTTCTAGGACAGGTGTTACTTCCACTGCTATCATCTAACGATTTTGTTTGTTTTTTATCCTCTTCAATATCTGTTTCAAATGGTACTACTGCACCTTTTGCCGATTTTACTTTGGAGATCGTGATTCCAGATTTTAGTTTGTGTGATTCCACTGAAGTACTCTTTGTTTGAGGCTCTTTTACAAATTCTTTTAGTTGGATTGTCTCGATTACACTCGGTCTTGGCTGATTGTCTTTTACAGTCTGTGATGAATCTTTCGAATTATTTCGTTTTACTTTCAAGACGCTGACAGTGGATTCAGGAGGAGTAGGATCGGTACTATTTTCACTTATAATTTCTAATGATTGTGCTCGTTTTCTGCCCTTTTCGATCACTAGCGGGGTCTTCGCTGAGTTTAGTTTTGAGATTTTAGTGACACTGATGGCAGACTTTGGTTTATCAACTCTTGGCGCTGTTTCGACGATCGGTTCACGTAGATCGATCGTGTCTATAATACTTGGTCTCGGATGATACCCAGTTGTTTTAGCCGATGATGTTGCATCTTCTTGTATTCGTTTCAACTTGAGAACACTAATGGCACTGCCTGGACCTTTCGGCTTCAATACTTGAACTGGTTTAAGAGTATCGTTAGTTGTTAAAGAAGTATCGAGATCTATTCCTGTTTGTGATATTATACTGTTTCGACGTTTATCGTTCATATTTTGGAGCTGAATATTATGAGAATTTGTTGATTTCTCTCGAGGAAATTTACGAACAGTAACTGGGCGGTTAGCTGTTGGATGTTCTTTTTTCGGTGGAGGTGAATCAATTTTATGAACATTCGGCGCATTTATTGCTAAATTTCCAAACACTTCATCGCTATGTTTTCTGTTGGACTTTCTTAGTTTTGATATACTGACGAAGTTAATGGGTGAATCATTTAAATCGACGCTTGCATTCAAATCAGTCGATGAATACCCACTGCTTGCACTATCCGGCTTTTTAAATAGTGAAACATTCTTTCTGCTTTTTCCGCTGTGGGTCGCTGTTGGTATTAGGAGTGTCTGAGATGTTGTTGTTTTATCAGATGAAGTATCCAACAACTTCTCAACTATATCTTCTCCAATGTAATAGAATTCAAAATCTTTACGGTATTCTCTTCTTCTAGCACCCGTAGCACTAAATAAACATGTTTATTTTTATGTACCATTACAGAACTGGATAAAAAAGAAATGCCGATCTACATACGGTCAACCAGGGGTTCATCACCTCTTAAAAGTATCCTGAAACAAAATTGTTATGTGATATGTATCATTTAATCGAGCTCGTTAAGCTGAACACGAATGTAATGTTAATTATATTTATAAAAATTTAAAAGCGAGTCCCGTATGGATCACAAAGATTCACAAGGTAGTACTGACTCTTACGAGACATATACTCAAATTTTTCTACATATATACCGGGAAGTTAAAACTCACAGTATACAATTCAATTTAATTCCATTCTAAACGTTCCACAATATCTTTACATTAAAATGTTTTTTTCAAATAAAAATCGTGGAACGCGACACCGTTTTGGCTAAACAGTTTCCAAAAAGTTGAATACGACTGTGTGAGTCCATTTCCATCTGTCCAAGTTTGAAACTTTCAAGAAAATTTCTTGAATAAATTGAGCGTATTCTTTTCTTCAATAAAAAGAGTTGTAAAAAATTTTGTTGGTCTTTATGTTTAGCATTGAAATACGTTTTTTCAATATATCGACTAGCCTTCAGCAGAGGTAAAAAGCCCATGGCTGTTTTTTTTATTTCAAATTCTGTAGAATACCCTTAAATACGTTTTCCAGTTATGTTTTGGCCCACTTGGTTATAATTAAAAAGTCGAAAGGTCCAAAAAAGGTAAAGTCGCGTTTCGCCAATTCAACTTTCGCCAATAGACATTCGCCATACTGGCGACGGGCGAAATTACACCCCACAATAGCCACATTTACAATACCCAC